TTCAAATCTTTGACCTGATTCTTGGGATCCTCTAGTCTGCTGTTGGATCTCTGTATATTATTCTTTATTTCAGTCAGTGTATGCTTAATTTCTAATTGGTCCTTTTACATATCCTTGAGGGTCTCATTATATTTCTCGGAGGTTTCTAGAAGATTCTTGAGTAACCTTATAACCATGGTTTTGAACTCTATATCCAGTAGTTTGCTTTCCTCCATTTCTCTCATTTGTGACCTGTTTCTTTGTCTCCGCATTTTGGCTGCTTCCCTGTGTTGATAAAATGGCTTTGTGTGCTAGGTGTCCTATAGGGCCCAGTGGCTCAGTCTCCCTAATAACCTGAGGTGGACACTCTTGGTGCACCCCTTTGTGGGTTTTGTGCACAGTCTTATTGTAGTTAAGCCTTGATTGCTATTGGTAACACTGATAGGAATTGACCTCCAGGTCAATTGGCTGTGAGGACCAGTTGTGTCTACAATGGGAGAACTTCTGTGCTGAAGACACTCTTATGGGGCAGAACTTGCTTCAGTGGGGCTTTGGTGCTCACTGAGTCTGCTCCCTGAGTGTGTCTCTTATGGATGTGAAGAGTTGTAATCTGGATGGTCTCACTCTGACCACTGGGTAGACTGGCTTTTGGATCTCCAAGGGGGTGCGAAGTCACCCACTGCCTGAGGCCACCCAGCAGGAGCTACAGAGAGATCTGCAGATTCCTCCTCTTTGTTTGGGGTTTGGAGGTGCCCAGATGAGGCGCAGCTGTGAAGTAATGCAGGCTGCTGACAAGCCTTAGGCCTTTTGGAAGATCTGGGTTTCTCTGATCCAACTACAGTTTGACAGGTTTTTAGGTGGAGAAAGGCCAGGCCATTAGTATGCAAAAGCCTCTGCACAAAGCTTGAGTGGGGTTGTAAATTGGGTGGGGCATGGTCTCAGGGAGTCACAGGGCAGTGCAAATAGCAATGGTTGCCTGCCTTCAGCCCTCCCCCTATAGGTCCCTGGGTCTCTGTGTCCCTCGGCCTCGTGTAGGAACAATGAACGCTGCAAGGACCTCTGCCAGAAAGCCGCCCTCATGTTCTGGCCCGATGCCAGACAGTACAGTTTCTCTCCATATGATTCTGGGCCCCCAGATTCTCACCCAGAACTGGATTTCAGAGCAGTCGGGAGCTTGTATCTCCCTCCCGGTTGAAAAAACAACAGTGTACCCAGCTGCCAGCCCCTTTCGTGAGCGCCTCTGTACCTCCACACCTCTGCACCTCCTATCAGACTCAATGCGCTTTTCTCTTTCCTTCTAGTTGTAGAATTTACACTCAGCCAGCCTTCCTGTGGTTCTGGATGCTATTCGTTTTGTCTTTTAGTTGTAGTTTTAATGTGGTTGTACGCGGTAGCAAGTTCAGGTATTTACTTATGCTGCCATCTTGGTTGTCCACCATTATCACATTTTTATGATTATAAATGATACTGTTATGAACATCTTTGTACTATTTAATTTTGAATACTTGTGCAAGGGTTTCTGTAGACTAAATTTCTGGAATAGAATTCCCAGATCAAAAGAACTTGATAGAGCCCGACTGGCATAGCTCAGTGGTTGAGCATCGATCTATGAACCAGGAGGTCATGGTTTGATTCCTGGTCAGGGCACATGCCTGGGTTGCGGGCTGGATTCCCAGTGTGGGGCATGTAGGAGGTGGCCAATCGGTGATTCCCTCTCATCATTGATGTTTCTATCTCCCCCTTTCCCTTCCTCTCTCTGAAATAAATAAAAAAAAAATTTTTTTAAAGAAGAAATTGATAGACACTGCCAAATTAAAGTTCTGATGTGAAGAATAGGTGTATACCTATTTATCCTATATAATAAAAGCCTAATATGCTCAGTGTTTGGTGTCTGGTCGTCCGTTCAACCAATCAAAGCGTAATATGCTAATGATAGGCTAAGGCCGCTCAACCGCTCATTATGATGTGCACTGACCACTAGAGGGCAGACAGTCGACCAGTCGCTATGATGTGCACTGACCACCAGGAGGCAGATGCTCTGACCAATAGGTTAGCTTGCTGCTGGGGATCAGGACTGAGTGAGAAGGACCAGACATGCCCTGGAGCCCTCCTGCAGTTCTTCCCTGGCTGGACAACCTCCTGATTCCCTCCCCAGCCCCGATTGTGCACCGGTGGGGGCGGGGGTCCCTTGGCCTGGCCTGTGCTCTCTCGCAATCCTGGACCCCTCGGGGAATGTCGGAGAGCCGGTTTCAGCCCAATCCTGCAGGCCAGGCCAAGGGACCTCACTGGTGCACGAATTCGTGCACTGGGCCTCTAGTGTGTGTGTGTGTGTGTGTGTGTGTGTGTGTGTGTATATGTATATGTGTATGTATATGTATATATACAAGTATGCTCATTTTCTGGATGAAGGTATTGGAGAGTATACACATACATACTTACACACACATAAGAGTAACAGTTTCACTGAATCGCCATTAAGACTGTTTACTTTTCTTTTTAACCCTCACCCAAGGATATGTTTATTGAGTTTAGATTGGGGAAGGGGAGGAGACAGAGAGAGAGAAATATCGATTCGTTGCCTCCCATATGCACCCTGACTGGTGATTAAACCCGCAACCTAGGTATGTGCCCTGGCAGGGAATTAAACCCACGACCTTTTGGTGTATGAGATGATGCTCCAACCAACTGAGCCACTGGCCAGGGCAGGGCTATTTACTTTATCAATCTACTGGGCCTGCTGCATAGTGGGCTCTGCCAAGGGAGCAGAATGTGCTACAGTAGTTCCATTGGGTTTCTAATGGGATGTATAAGCCCCAGTCAAAAAATTTTATAAATTTGACTTATGGAATCACCATTTATTAAATTTCAGCTGAATATTACTGATTAAACTGTAGATAGCATGTCCCTACCTCCATTCTCTCCTCCATGTTACAGAAAACTGGATAGAAAATAACATACAATCCTCAGAATTGCAGCTTCCAGACAGGAAAAATTGGTACCAATTAAGATGGGATAACAGCTTCAAAGATAATTCACTCATTGTATCTGAGCAAATAGATGGTGTGGTAGCCTGCCCATGTGAAGTGTGAGCAAGATGAAAAAAATGGCATGGCAACCCTAAAAACACACTATAGAAAAAGAAGAAAAATGCATGCAGAAGACAACGAATCCAGCTTAGAAGAAAATACTGCACACAAAGCAAAAACAAACAAAAAAACCACATAGTTTACCATAGAAAAATGTTATTAAGGATATGAATTTAATTAAATAAGAGCTCAAAGATGAGATAATGAAACAAAATGAGGTGGAGATTCCAAATTAATGAAATAGAGAATCCAAACCACACTGTTACAAATCATAAGTTAGCAACATAGACAAATTAGAAAATCAAGTTCCAGCATGGAGAAAAGATTTGAGCTAATCAAATAAAAGAGGTGGAGAGAGGGTTTGGAAGAACAAAGCAGTTCAAGAAGAATAATAGATATAGGGAACAGACAAAGGAAATAACTTAAGATGAGTTAGTGCACCTAAAATGTAAAACAAAAAAA